TCGTCCGTGGAAATGTCTTACGATGGACTTCATCACGGGACTTCCCCCAAGTGAGGGGTTTGATGCGATACTCGTGGTGGTGCACCGATTTTCGAAGATGGCACATTTCATACCCACCACAACGGAAGTGGATGCGGAAGGTATGGCGAAGTTGTTTTTCAAACAAGTGGTTCGAGTGCGGGGAAGGCTAGAGGAGATCATCTCGGATAGAGATAAGATCTTCACCAGCAGGTTCTGGAGAACTCTCCTGGAACAGTATCGCACCAAGTTGAAATTCAGCACAGCCTATCACCCACAGACAGGTATTGGGTATTAAGTCAAGTTGGATGGCACTAACGCTTCTTGATAGATGGACAAACGGAAAGGGTGAATAGGCAGCTGGAGGATTATTTACGATGCTATGACTCCGGAGACCAGACTGATTGGGTAAGTCATTTGGGACTTGCGAAAATGTGTTATAACAACTCACCACATTCGAGTATTGGGGTGAGTCCATGGAAAGTCATCAATGGGCGAACTATTGAAGGTCCTGTGGAACTCGGCGTGGCCAAGTATCATGGAGAGTTGCCTGCAGTGGAGGCATTCACGGCGGAAAGACTCAACATTTGGAATCTAGTTGTAAGGAACTAACTCCCCAAGGTGTCGTAGGCTAAAGCATCCCTGAAAACATGACCAAAATGACAAAGGGTTCATCAGATGGGACCGAGTCTGAGATCGAGTCCAAGACCGACTCTGAGACCGAGTTCGAGATAGAGTCCGGGATCGAGCCCGAGACCGAATCGGAGACCAAGTTCGAGACCAAGTTCGAGACAGAGTCCGAGATCCAAATCGGGTCCAAGACCAAGTTCGAGGTCGAGTCCGAAGTCAAGTCTGAGATCGGGTCTGAGATCGAGTCCGACACCGAGTCCGAGACTGAGACCGAGTCCGAAGTCGGGTCCAACACCGAGTCCGAGATCAAGTTTGAGACCGAGTCCGAGTACTAATACAGGTCAAGGGGTGAAAGCCCAAAGCATGCATTTCCCAAGGGAAGGGGGGGGGGGGGGGGGGGGGTTCCAAAAGTATAGTAGGGATAGTGAGGTCCAGGAACTAGTCTTGAAGGAACTCTCCATTGGTGCTTCCAAACTAACTTGAGGTTGAGACTGGGGCCGAGGGGCCTTGGGTAGGAGTGAGCATGGACTTGGGTGGTGCTGGAGGGGCCACCCAAGGAAGTGCTCAAGAGCAGCTCCCACTCCTGAAAGGGAAACCGATTGCGGTGCTCCCGGCTCATGTGGAGTGGTGCCCCACTTGAATACCTTGTGGCTCATTGGTCCTCGCCCTTCCTAGGGGCTTGGACCTTCCCTTCAGGATGGAAGTGGGGGGGTAGAGGTACCCGTACCAGACCGTTAGGCCATGGTGTTTCGCCCCGGTGTCCCGAAACAAGTGTTGCACCCAAGGCTTGGGATTAAGAGGGTCCCATGATCAAGTTTTGTTGTACCAAGGGATGTTAGGAACCTGGAGGCTTGGTGTGCTTGGCTGCGTATGCCTGCGGAGAGTGTAGCTGAACCTTAAGTTCAATCTAACCCGGGGAGGGGGATTGGGAGGGATTTGGGAATCCGTGGATGGATGGCTAACACTCCGTTGCTCGTGCAATGAGTAGCTGAAACCAAGTAGGACTAAGTAGGAGTTGGTACAATAGGCGGGAACCTTGGTGAGGGAACTTAGCAAAAGCCAAGGCAGTGTTGGTCAGATAGACAAGGTAAGTTGGCAAATTGGAAAGGAAAAATTTGTGGCTTACATTGATCTTCTAGAGGGGATAGAATTGGCTCTTAAACACTTCACCAAGTTAGCCTATTTTTCTGCTCGTATTCACTCTAGCCTTGGACTCTTTAATGGATATATCATCACCTAACACGTGAGTATAACCTTCTTTAGTCACACTAACATTTTCTGGCCAAACTAGATCCATTGAGGTCCCCCCCCCCCCTACTATACTTTTAAAGCTCACCAAACCCCCTAGGTTCTGGGAGATGATTGCTTTAGTCTTTCACCCTCAAACTTAGACTTGGACTTGGACTCAGTCTTGGATTCAGAATAGGTCTTGGTCTCGGTCTCAAACTCAAACTCAAACTCAAACTCAAACTTGGACTCGGTCTCGGTCTTGGTGGAACATATATGTATATTACTCAATGTCCCTTAGAGACTAGTATAAAAGCAAATTGCTCATAGTACAATGCTTTAGCAATTTTCCAATGAATGGTGGATGAGGTTCTTTGTGATATACTAGAGGTGACTACTTACTTATTCAATAATGTCTTAATCCATTTAGAGGGGACACAGAAAGAGCACATTCATGATGTTTGAAAAGTGTTAAATTGATTGCGAGAAATTGATTTAAAGTTGAAGTGATTGAAATGCATAATTAGATCCAAAGATATGATTTATCTTAGATACTATATTTCTCATAAGGGTTTATAAATTATTCTTGACAAACTTATGGCCATTCAAAAGTTCTCTATTCCAAAGTGTTTGAATGATATGTAGCACATCCCAAGTAGGTGCAATATCTCAATTATTTTATTAATCATCTTTTTAATTGCACCATACCATTGTGAACGTTGCTGAAGTTGTCAATGTTATCTTTCATCTAATCCAAGGACTATGAACATGCATTTATAGATCTTAAAAAGTTATTGATGACTCCTCCAATTTTAGCATATTTTAATTAAACTTGATATTTCATTTTGCATATGAATGCTTTGGATATCAGTCTTGGGGGTGTTTTAATGCAAAAAAGTATGAGTGTGCCTAATCAACATCATCCCATTGCGTACATAAACTATACATTACAACTAGTAGAGGTATATTACTCCATAATAAAGAAAGAATGTTTAGTGGTAGTTTAAAGTTTCGACAAGCTTGAGTTCTCAGATGTTACTAGAAGGTAATCATGTTGTAGTTACTTTGTTATTGAAGTGGAAAAACTTGATTAATTGTATGGCTTGATAAGCTCTAAAGTTTCAAATATATAATTTAAAGGTTTTTCATTACCCAGGGAATTATATAGTTGATACTAACACCCTTTTTCAAGTTCTTTTCCCTTCTTTACTCTCTTCTCATGTTCCTAATAAACCTATTATTTTAGCATTTATGAATTTTCTGGATGAGGATTTTATACTGTTAATGGTTAATATACTTGATGTTCAGTGTCCATGAGGTGCAAAGAAAGATTTACCTTCTTTTGACAAGGTTAGTGTGGCTTAAAAGGTTGAGTCGTGGATCTAAAGGCTTTTTAAAGGGTTTAAAAATCCTGCATCACTTATAAATGACTTATTATTTCAGCATTTACATTCTTAATATTGTCTTAAGGATGACCTTCTTTATTTTGTTTAGACTGATCTTAATGGTCATTTATAGCTGGTGGTTCTTTTAATATTTATTCCATGTTTTTTCTATACTTACTATAACTCTCCTATTCTATGTGGGCATATAGGATATCAGTGTGTGACTGAAAAATTACATAATTCTTTCTATTGATTGAATATACAATGTGATATTATTCAATATATGCATAGTTGTCTTTGGTGCCAAGGCTATATTACTCCCCTGGTGTTACGAAGGGACAGTTGGAGTCAATTATAATTTCCTGTCCATTTGAGTTGGTGGCATTTGATCTAATAAAGCTTTTTCCACAATTGATTATTAGTAATGAATATGTCATTATTTTCTTTGACTACTTGATTCACTAAATGGAAGTCAGTGCTCTTACTAGTGCATCAATAACTATTATTGGGTACTTCCTCCTCAATTGAGTGGTGTTCTAATATTCATGTCTAGAGTGAATTCTCTCAAATAATGGTCTTACATTTATTAATGAGGCATTTCATGTTTTAATATCTCAACTAGGGATACATCACACTTTACAAATGCTTATCAGTTTGGTAGAACAACTCATTCTGAGATGATTGCGAAGTATGTGAAGTTTAACATTTAGATTAAGATGATTATTTGCCCTCTCTTTGGTACACATATATTATAGTGATATAAAGTTCTATTAATGTTTCACTATATAAAATTTTATATGGTAATGATCCAATATTACTAATGGAGTTGAGTTCACCTTCGCGATTGCTATAAACTGTCGATACTAAGTCTTGGGATCAATATTTAATGAGCATTTTTTTAGTTGTCTGAGTAGAGTCTATCAAACATTTAGGCAGCATACAAGTGGGACAACAACAACACTACAACTCCCATCATCGTCCATCTATAGAGTATAAAGTAGATGATTTGGTGTTAGTCTATTTTCCCAATCTTACAATATATAGTCTGTCTAAAAAACTCTTTTTTCAATGAAGGGACCATATTAGGTGTTATAGCAAGTTGGATTTCAAGTTTATAAAGTTCAACATCACATTCAATAGGCCGATCCTCTATAAATTATGCATATACAACAACTAAAATGTTTCATATAAAGGGATCAAAAATAATTAATACAAATCCATTGATGCCTCCTCTTAATATTCTTTTAGATCCCGGCCCAAACTAGAGAACTTAATTGCCTCCTATCCTTCCGAGAAGAGGGGATAAGTTCCAAGTGTACATTTACAATGGTATATATTAATATTAAAAGTTATATATAATATTACTATAGTGGATTTTGATAATTGTCAGATTGATTTCAATCCGAATTTATATATAAAATATGGTTTTTGGACTAATAAAAATCCACTTCCATATTTATTCTATGCACTTCCCTTACCATAAATCATGCATTGGAGTGAGCTTTATATATGCCTCCACCCATATTAGACTTTGATAATCTTATGAGATATGGGATTAGGTTACCAAGTAGTGCAATTTACAGAAAATGTCTCACTAAATCAATATTCCCAGCTTCCATAGAAGCATTGCCATCCTCCCATATATCCACTAGTGACAATGAACACTTCCTTATAGACCTTTCTCATTGGCAAGAGGGTGTAGTGATCCTTCATGTTGGTTGTAGTGGCAAAGTTGTTTTCTCAGGGCTCCACAAAATGGATGTAGAGGAGGCTGAATTTGTGGGTTGGAGTTAGAGGCTCCCGGATTCCAACTCCGATCTCCTTGCAAACAGCTTCCAGGATCTCTAGAGCAAAATGGCAGCTGTTCTCTCTTTAAGGAACTAGTCGATGAGGGCTGCATGAATTTCGACGAATCAAAACGAATCAAAACCTGCAAACCCATTCTTTGTCAGTTAAGATCTTTTAGTTTGGTTTTGACCTGCTCATATGTGCAGCGATCCTAAAGTCATCCATGGTGCCAGGGAACTCATTGATTTCCAAGAATCTTGGAGTGGATAAGTCAACCTACCATGGAGCTGTCTTATTGGAGGAAGATAATGGGGTAAGCTGGGCATTCCTAATAAAAATTCCTTGAAGCTTACATGTGTGACAACATGCCAAAGTTGAAGGATAAATCCCTCCTTTGTTATGCACTGCCTGGACAATTGGTTTCCAGGCCTCAACTTGTTCCTTGGACCATGTTCCTGTAGTGTCTGGATATCTGCAGGAAAAAGATGAATAGAAACCACACTCGTGACTATAGAACCATACCCAGTTCAGTGGGAGAGATTGGAGTGGCCTCGGCTATGAATAATCCCCTATGAGTAGTTCTCTGGGCATAATAAGTCGTAGCATGAAGCTGTGGTTCGTAATTATATGACTTACACCTTGTAAGTGGAGCAACCTCTGATCAAAAGCCAACTTTTAGGAGAAAAAGAACTGCTTCTTCTCCTAAGAATGAGAGGATGTTCTTATTGTTGTTGAATCTCTTGTGGCGCTTCCATGATTGACTGTACTCAATCTTGAGAACAATTCCACCTGCATAAGCGATAGCAATAAACATAGGATCCATTTTCTTCCAAGTTACCTTTGGAATGTCAAAGCTCGTGCAAGAGAAACGTAGCTTCACGGTCCATAGTTGTAGAAAATTACAAAAACGTAACTATTTCGCCTCCGACTTTTTAAGATAAAAAACAGAGAAATTGTGATTTCATAACAGTTTAAGTTTCATCCACGAGAAAAGAATAGGACAAATAGCCGACCAAGTCGGCCTTTCCACTTTCCACAGCAGCATTGCCATCCTCCCCTGCCTTTCTCAGTGGCCAGAGGCTCATTCGGGGCTCCACGAAATGGAGGCTGAGAGAAGAGTCCGAGCTTCATTGGATTGGAATCCAGCTCCAACAAAGTCCGAGAAGAACAAGCAGATCCCAACTCTTCCTGGCCGATCTCCTCACAAAAGATCTCCAGAGAGAACCTCTCAAGCGAGGTCAGTTCGATCGTTGGTTCTGTCTTTGAGGAACTGGTCGATGCGGCAGCCGTGAGCTATGGATCTCGACGCCTTCAAAGCCTGCAAATCCATTCCTGAAGGTAAGAAGAAAATTCCTTCCGAAAGATAAGAGATTGGAGCTCCTTGGCCAGGGTGATAAGCTGGGCAATTTGAAATTGCTTGTGTGAGAAACTCGTTCAGCATGCAAGATTTGAAGGAGAAAATCACCTCCTTTGGGTGGCTCGCTGCCAAGATCCAGCTTTAGGCATACACTGCCTGGACAATGGGTTTCCAGGCCTCGATTTGCTCCTCAGTCCATATCCGTCTGGATATCTACTTCGACCAAAATCCACATCCCGGAGGAAGATTTACACGTACCCCAATCCAGTCGGAGAGATTACAGTGGCCTACAATCCCCCTCGAGTAGTTCTCTGGGCATAGTAAAGCGCGGCGTGTGGCTGTGGGACGTAATTGTACAATAGAGACCATGTAAGTGGAGCAAGTACCACTCTGGAAAGGATCATCCAATTTTTATTGCCATGTCAAGAGCTAGTATGGTAGTTCTTACATGTGATTGAGCGAGAAATCGCCCAGCTGAAAGGGCCTGAGCAGTTCCTGGCATTCATGCCGAGAATCTATACGACTCTAGGGTCATTTTAAAGGAAAGCACGTATAATGGATTCGCTAGAAATCTCGATGGCGACGCAGTCATAGATAAAACCTTGGAGGGATGAACTTTACCATGAATGCCTTTTAGTTAACTTTTCTACTTTGGATATAACATATTTTAGGGATCCAGGATCATCCAGAGGTACGTCGTCGCGGCGCCATGAGCTGCCTAGGGCTGGATCTTGGCAACGAGCACAGCCGCATTGCGATCGCGCGGCAGGGCGGCGTCGATGTCTTTCTCGACGAGGAATCCAGCCGCGAGACGCCCTCTGTCATCTCCTTCACGCAGCGCGATCGCTGCATTGGCGCATCCGGCGCGGCGTCGGCGCTGGGGAATCTCAAGAACACGGTGTGGCAGATCAAGAGGATTATCGGCAGGAAATTTCGGGATCCGGAGCTCCAGAGCGACCTCAAGCTCATGCCGTGCCTTGTCACCGAGGGAAGAGGGGGATGGCCGGCGATCCACGTCTCCTATCTCGGCGAGCACAGGATCTTCGGGGCCACGGAGCTGCTTGGGATGGTTCTAGCGCACTTGAAGTCGATCGCAGCCAAGAACATGATGGGAGTAGCTCCAGGGGAGTGCGTGATAGGAACTCCAGCTTTCATGGACGACGTCCAGAGGCGAGCTTACGTCGATGCTGCTGCGATTGCGGGTCTCCGGCCTCTCAAGCTCATCCACGAGACGACTGCCGCCGCGATATCTTATGGCCTCTATCGGACGGATCTTCTTCACGAGACTCGGGAAATCTTCGTGGCTTTTGTGGACGTCGGGCATGCGCACACCCAGGTGGCGATCGTGGCCCTCCGGAGAGGTGTGCTGCGAGTTCTATCCTACGCGTTTGATCGGTGTCTCGGGGGCCGGGACTTTGACGAGGTGCTGTTCAGCCACTTTGCTGCGAAGTTCTCCGCCACCTACAGGATCGACGTCCTGTCCAACTCGCGGGCTTGCCAGAGATTGAGAAGAGCGTGCGAGAAGCTGAAGAAGATCCTCAGTGCCAATGCCGAGGCTCCCATCAGCATCGAGTGTCTCATGGACGAGAAGGACGTCAAAGGCTTTATTACGAGAGAGGAGTTTGAGAAGCTGTGTGCCCCGCTGCTACAGAGGATCAGGCATGCTTGTGAAAGAGCTTTAACGGATTCGGAACTGGCTGTGGACGATATCTCCGCTGTGGAAGTGATCGGTTCTGGTTCCAGAGTTCCTGCGATCGCTAGAGTTCTCGCTGCCGCTTTTAGGAGGGAGCCTAGCAGGACTTTAAATGCGAGCGAAAGCATTGCTCGCGGCTGTGCTCTCCAAGGTGCGATGTTCAGTCCAACTTTTCGAGTTAAGAAGCTCGAGGTAAAGCATTCCTTCGATTTTTTAGTTGTGTTGATATGTTTCGCTGCTACAGGTCCATGACTATTTCCTGTTCCCTGTAGCGTTCTCGTGGGCTGGACCCGCAGCGTTTGAGTATGGTCTTGACGATCCCACGACTCCTTCAGCATCCATCGTTCCACAGATTCTTCCAAACAGCATTGTTTTTCGGCGAGGGGTGTCGTTTTCTACGTCCAAACAGCTCACTTTCTGGGTAACTAATCCGATATTCGAGATTCGAGCGTTATATGGAGATCTGACTGAACTTTCGGCAAGCGCTTCGAACCCTTTTGCAACATTTACTGTAAGAACTGATCCTTCGGAATGGTTTTTTATTGCGATCCGTTTCAGGTGGGACCTTTGAGTTGCAGGAAACCAGAATCTTCGCGTCTGAGGCTTTCAATTCACCTGAATCAGCATGGAATACTCATGTTGTCATCAGCCACTGTAAGTATAGCAAAAAAGTCTCGTCTTTTTTGTTTTTCGACATTCATCTGGTCATGGGATTTGTAGCTTATGGAAGATGAAGAACTGGAATCAGGCATGCAGCAGGTATTCGAGAGCGTTTTAAGAATCTCTAGGAAACGTCTCTCTGTCGTTTCCAGGGACAAAGTAGGATGAGGAGATTGAGACACACCGATGTGCCAATCGTGGAAATGACAACGAAGGAGCTGTCCTCATTGGAGCTGCAAAATGCCATCGAGAAAGAGTTTGAGATGGAATTCCAGGATCGAGTGTCCGAAGAAACGAAAGAGGCGAAGAATGCATTGGAAGCTCTAGTGTACGACATGCGAAACAAGGTATTTGCAATGACTGCTTGTGGGATTCTTACCGATTGATGCATGCAGTTTTATGGAAAATTACAAGAATATGCAAGTGAAACGGAGAAGAAAGATTTACTGAAGAAACTCCAAGATACTGAAACATGGTTGTACGAAGGAGGAGACAATGAGACTAAAACTGTCTATGCTGCAAAGCTAGCGGACCTTAAAATGGTAAAATTGCGACAATTGCCTTCACTGCTTACTTGTAAATGCAGCTCGTGAAGTCACTCGAAGAACGGCTGGCCGAGGAGCATGCTCGTGATGCTGCAATGTCAGACATGCAAAGGCACATCGAGAATGTGCGAAATGCTGCTATTGCCAGGGGTGCTCATCTTGATCAGTTTCGTATTGAAAGGGCAAGTGATTGTTTTGTTAGTCTCAACATTTTTATTTGTTTTTCTCTTCTAGGTCTTTTCGGAATGCGATCAAGCGGAGTTATGGCTTAGGGAAGCGAAACACAGCCAGGCGATCCTGCCAAAATATGCGAAGCCGGCTGTATGGGCCTCTGACATTAAGCACAAAGCAGAACTTTTGGACAGGTGCCTTTAAAATTGTTTTGCATCTTCACTACCGGGTTTGTAATCTGTACAGATACTGTAAGTCGCTTATTGGATGAATCATCCGATCGACAACTTCACCAGTGGTCTTTACAGGAGCATTGTCCATGCTCAAAGTGATGGTAACATGTTACATCTCTTACAACTATAGCTCTGTCGACGATCCTGGAAATGACTTTGATTGCAGCATGGCACTCGGAGCAGATACGTAAGTTCTTGACGATTTGAAGCGGGGTGCCAGGATCAGTTGTCAACAAACCAAAAGCTAAAGCAACTCTTTCGCTGTGATAGCCGAGATGCTCCACATTTTCTTCCATCGTCTCGACATCCCTCAGCACCTCGTTCATATCAGGTACATAGCCAGCTTCTTGCATTTGCCGGTCCAGCCTTTCCAACTCGGCTTTAAGTTTATCAGTTTGTGGGTGCAGCTTGCCGGTCGTGCCAAACTCGTGCAACCTATTCTTAATCTCGATATAACTTTGTCCTGGGAGCTTCTTCCAATCTCTCTCTTGCATCGCTCGTCGAATTCTCCGGACGTCATCCCACCTCCCAACTCGGCCATAGATACTGGAGAGGAGCACAAACGCAGCGGTATTCGCCGGATCCAATTCCAGAACTCGATCGGCAACGAGCTCGGCTCTCTCCACGCGGCCATGCATCTTGTAACAACCGAGTAGCGTCACCCAGATAACACTCGTCGGCTGGAAAGGCATCTCGTCCACCACCTCCTCGGCTTGAGTGACCCATCCAGCCCGGCCGAGAACGTCAATCAAGCGCACGAAGTGGTCGACCTCGTGGGAAATGCCGTGATCCATCGTCATTGACACGAAGTAACTCCTGGCCAGTTCCACAAGTCCGGTGTGGCTGCAAGCGTGCAAGATACTGTTAAAGGTAACTCGGTTCATTTCGCACGACTCCATGACCATCTCTTGGAATAATTGCAGGGCGTCGTTGCTATGCCCGTGCTGGGCATATCCGGCGAGCAGCGTGTTCCAGCATACGAGATCTTTCTTTTTGACTGTGTCGAATGCGATCCTGGCTTCGTGCATTCTCCCGCATCGTGAGTACATGGTGACGATCGCGGTGGCCACCACCAGGTGCTTTTCCAATCCAAGAGCGATGATCCGGCTGTGGAAGGCTATGCCCTCGGAGAGAGCTCCCAACCTCGAGCAAGCGTCCAGCACTCCAGAGTAAGCGTACATGTTTGCTTTGGTTCCTTCCAGCTCCATGTTTCGAAACATTTCCAGGGTGGTCTTTCCATCTCCGTGCTCCGAGTAGGCCGTGATGATAGCTCCCCAGGCAACGATATCTTTGCGCTCCATCACGTCGAAGGCTCTCCGAGCATCCTCAACACTGCCACACTTCGCATACATGTCCAGCAAGCCAGTTGTGACGATGCTGCTCTTGCCGAAAGATGGTGGCTTTGCTTGTCCGCCGCTGGAAGACGCAACGATCAAGTGCGAGTGAATCGCCCGTCCCTCCTCGAGGGCGTCAGTTCCGAGCGCTCCACAGGCACCCAGGGCGATGGAGAAGATGAAGTCGTCGGGCTCCACTCTATCGTCCTTCATCTCCTGATAGGCATCGAGAGCGTCCCGGAAGAGCCCGTTCTGGAAGTAGGCGAGGATGAGGATTGTCCAAGAGAAGACGTTCCTGGTGACTATCCGGTCGAAGGCACTTCGCGCTTGATCCAGCTCGCCGCATTTACCATACATCTGGACGAGCAAATTCCCGAGAAACGTATCGCCGTCGTAGCCGCGGGACTTGAGGAGGAAGTGGAGCCTCTTCCCTTCCCAGAGGTTCTGGCTGCTCCCGCATCTTCGCAACGCCTCGGCGTAGCATTTGGTGGTGTCGCTGCTGCAGCGCAAACTTGGACTAGAACCCACTACTGCTACATCGCTGGCGAGCCGCGGAGAACAGCTGGAGCTCCAGACAGCGTCCATTCATTCCATCACAAAGCTCTCCGCAAGCATTAGGTAAGGTTATTTTGTGATTTATAGATTCTTTCTCTTGACACGATCGGAGACTTATATTTGAAAGTAAGGAGTCCAGAGGAAAAACTGCAAGCTCTCAGCCAGGCAAGAAAACTTTCAAGCTTTGACACGCTTTCACAAAGCTCTAGGTAAGGTTATTTTGTGATTTATATATTCTTTGACACGATCGGACACTTATATTTTGAAAGTAAGGAGTCCAGAGGAAAAACTGCAAGCTCTCAGCCAGGCAAGAAACCTTTCAAACTTTCATTTAAGAGAAACGCTTTGAAAGAGCTAGCTTCGCAATTCTAGCGAATCTCACGACGAATACAGTCGCCAGCGATGAATAGAGTTTATCTCGCTAGCTCTCTCAGCCTGCTCTCGTCGCGACCATGGCCACAACGAAGGGTTCGTGGACAGCGGGTAGAGGCAACGCTTACTTGCAGTAATCGGCGGCCAACTTGGGCTTAGTCATACAGGACGAGATGAGCGATGTGCGTGGTGGTGGTGATAAGAAGTCCAAACTCGATCACGGCAGGAGGTCGCTCGTCTTGGAGGCTGGATCGAACTTCAGATCCATCTTTCCTCGTAAGAGTTGCCAGTTCTCTGTCTGCGCAGAGACTGAAACAAGTAAAGTTGAACGCAAGTACAGCCATTATAAGTTAAGCTTGACTCGGTGATCATATGCGGTTCACTTGTCGGTGGGTCAGATCAAAGCAAGCTCACACTTTTTTCCTTTTTGTATTTGCTTGGAGATGTTTGAGGAGTACCATGTACACCTCGGCTCTTTTGGCAAACCGATATTGAGGGAGTCTATGTCGCTGACGGCAATGGCGACGCGGAGGGAGCCCGTGGAGAATCATCGCAGCAAGTAGCCTGGCAAGTGGCGTTGTATAGTTGATCGATTGGTGAAGTCGGACTGGGGAAATAGCAAGTACGATTCGATTCAAACAACAAAGAGTAGCCTCCCAAATTCTGTTGATCCCGTGCATTGACGTTCAAACGGATGAAATGGCTTTTTCTCCAGTCAAGGCAGATCAGTTAGCACATAAAAAATATTTCGAGTATCTTTTAAGCAAGAAAAGTTTAAATATATTTCATTCTTCTACATATTTCTTGCAGAAAAAACAAGGAATTCATCCCACAAAACAAACAAGTTTGTTAATTTTACAACACTTCTATGATTTTCTTTATGAATTCCTTGGCTAAGAGCGTATACGTGTGTTCAGTTGGGTGTATTATATCCCAAAAGACGTAATCGCTTGGATTCTTGCACAGCCCACTCAATGTATTCTTTTGTGAAAGGCAATTGGGACAACAACCCCCGGCATTCTTAAATCCAAACCTCTTTGGGTTCTCCACGTATGATTTGATCAAAGCCATCCACAAATGTTCCTTTCATCCCTGGAAATCTCTTTGCCACCCCTAAAACAATCTCCCGAGCTTGCACATTGAATTCTTCCACCAGATTGTTAATCTCGCCCACACATTTTCCTCCAGAGGTCACAATAGGTGAACACCCTAGTGCCCCGACACTTGAGTAGACGATCTTTCGAAATCCATACTTGTATAGCTGTTCCAATCCTTTCTCTAATGACATTAACATTGCTTTCAAGTCAATATCAGCAATGTTTTGAAGATTTGCTGCAATATCATTCCCAGCAGAAGATATCACAACCACAAAATCATTGAGATTGAGATTTTTCTTGGAGAGCTGCACGAGCTGCTTTAGCTGCTCGTTAAACGACACAACGCCCCAGTCCGAGTGAGTAGAGTCGAGTAAGCCACTGCCGTCTGACGCAAAATTAATGCTTGGTGGAAGTTGACTCCCAGCTTTCAAGCCCAGGAATGGTCTTGAAAAGGGCAAACCTATCGCCTTGTTTATCAGATCTGGAATTATAAACCCATCGCTACACCTCCCGGATGGCTTTCTAAACCTCGTCTCCCCATATGGCACAAAATCACAGTGCGAAACTGAATTCTTCACATATTTGTTTGTGCCCACGTCGAAGATTGAATCTCCCATGTAGATAGTCCTGAGTTGACCTCCCATACACGCACACGCAGAGAGCCAAGATTGCAAAGATCCTCGACCACTTCGTCATCTCGCCAAACTTTAATATGGCAAAACCTAATGCACAAGCTAGTTTATATAGAGTTAGGGAAAAGGAAAAGGTTACTTCATCTAATAAAAGTACCTTTAAATACTTGAATGAAAACTAAAGTTTTAGCAAGCATTGTCTACACGATATCATAGACGACACAAGCTCATCAAAGTTGAGGATCGCAGAGAGCCAAGATTGCAACCACGAATACTAAGATCCTCGACCACTTCGTCATCTCGCCAAAACCTTATGGCAAAACCTAATGCACAAGCTAATTTATATAGAGTTAGGGAAAAAGGAAAAGGTTTCTGGCTGTGATTAAATATCGGGAACTAGTTATGCAAAGCTTAAGGAGATAGTTGAGTACCTTTAAATACTTGAATTTAAACTATAGCTAAAATTTTAGCAAACTTTGGATGCATTGTCTACATGATATCATAGACAATAATAGACTGAGGAAGGATGGCAGCATTATCATACACCACAAGCTCATCAAAGTTGAGTATCCCTCCCACTTCACCAGACACGGAGTGATAGCCATCCGGTGGAGCAACCAACTCGGCCTGTCCTCGGTCACCTTGAACACACGAGTGTTAAAGCTTCGAAAGGAGTAACATACTCTCGAATTATATTAAACGTGATAAAGTCATTATCCGTTAGGCTTTTGTTTAAACCAACAGGCCCGTTAAACCAAAAACCTAAGAAAATCGGACAGTGCAGAGAGCTTTTTGGTGAAGAGTAGGGAGAGAGACAGGTAGGGTTCTTAGCGAGCTATACAGTTTCTTCATCAAAACATCTTCTACAAATCAGATTACTAGGCAAAACGGAAGGTTAACTCTTTCAGCAGATCCTCTGTTTCTTCTGCATACGGACAATCTCCAGCTGCGGAGGAAGAAAAATGACCACCTGTTGGTTGTCGTACTCCCAAAAGGACTGCATAGTATCGACGGACGAGAATTCAAACACAATGCTGAGGCAGCACTCGTCCTCCACAGGCTCCTCGTTGCTGTAAATCTTCACCATGTCCAAACACGTCTTTTGCAGGTCACCTTTCACAGGGCCAGATACAATGTCGATTCTCCCTGCAGCAACCACAATATCAGTCAGCATGCATCGTCAAGAGGCCACACACCACACTAACCTGCAAATCTTGGTAGTTTGAGACGGATGACATACTTGTCTTCCGACTCCTTATGCTGCACAGTTCCCCTTTTGTTGCCTTCAGCTCAGATTCGTACAGCACCAGGTTCCACTCAAAGACTCTCGCCTTGAAGACGTTCCGCTGCTCTTTACGGATTTCTTTGGTATATGTCTTCAACCATTTCCAGCGTTCACGCAAGGAATTCATTGCCGACGTGTATCCTCATGAAGCCCTGAACGAAGTTGTAAGCGTCCTCAAGGTCTGTTGCGAGATTGCCAGTAACCAGTTTCTTCCTCTGAAAATGCGGTGATGAGAACGAGCTGTAAGAATTGAGATCAGCTTACCATATCGGGTTTTACGTAGTAAACCCCGACCAGAAACTTGGAGTTCCTTCGAGTGAGCGTTGTGCCGGTTTTCCTTTCATATTGTTCCTTGAGTGTATCATATTGTGCTTGCAGTTCCTCCAGAGTACCTGGCACCAGCGCATACGATTCCTCGGGGAAGGAGGTCTTCAACCAGTCTCTCATACTGGAAACATGCTTCTTGTACGCCCTGAAAGGAAGAATATGAGAAATATGTTTAGTGCTGTCGTCTCACTTACGCGTAGCTTTCTGGAGCGATCTTGCCGTCGCAGACTGTCACGAATCCAAAAATGTCCAAAATCCCATAGTTGTACACATCGTTGGCCCAAGCAAAGGTATACAGTCGATCAACTGGGTGAAATTCCTCGAGCTCCCTCAAAAGCTCGTTACAGCCAGATGAGCCCGACTGAAATGTGTCCTCGTCTTTCAAACTGGACCAACATTCGTTAGTGCCTGCTACGAGGGGAAAACGGATTTAATTTACCTCCATTTAGCTTCAGTGACGGAAACCGGCAGCCAGAACTCGGGGTTCACGTAAGGGTAATGCTTCTTCATCCACTGGATTAATTCAACGTTTTTCACTTTGCTCTTGAAGTCGCAACGCCACCGCTGTAGCAGAACGAAGCACGTAAGTTACAGGCAGGCAGATCATTTCATAAGGCTACTCTTACCTTGGGTTCGTCCTTGTCCTCGACCTCGTGGTATTCCCGCATGTCCGTCTTTACCTCGAGAACAGCGTTTCCGTCGTCGTCGCGAATTATCTCACCATTCTCGTCGCGTTGCACGGTATAGAATGTGACTCCTTCCACTTCTGCAATCATGTCTCGATCACGGGGAATCACGTACCGAAAGCCGGGAAACAGCGAGCCCATGTGAATTCTGTCTTGAGATTCAGTAGCTGCCTCAGAAAAGCAGCGCTTCGTCTCAGCTGGTCCCCGACTGATCTTGTCAAGAATAGAATCAAGTGTCGCCTGCCTCAAGCCCACATAAGTCTGATCCATCTTGTCGTCTGATGGAAAGTTGCCGGAACAAGATACTAGCGGATGCTGGAACATGAAGGAGGCTGCAGTTGCTTCAGATGGCGGACAGTTCAAGAGAGACCTTTTCCTGCGAGAACCCGGGCTAGCCGGGGTAACGAGAGTAGCAGGACGCGTGACCGAGGAAGCCAATGGGGTACCCGGGGTAGCATGAGGCACTGATGGAATGGAAGTTGACGCCGTGGAAGCCGATGGAACCGGATCTACATCCATAACTACTGGACCTGCTAAAGCAGCCTTAAGTGATAAACCTTGATGTATTTTCCGTTGAGACTCGGATGCTACTCCTCTGGGAGGCTCTCCAGTCAGCCTAATATGCTTGTTAGTTCCCTTATCCCAACACTCGCGAAGCAAATCCCTCTTCATCGGCGCTTACCCTAATCCTTCTGAGAGAATAAAATATGCCACAAAATAGAATATATTGTCTTGGCGCCCTAAATTTGAACTAATTTTTTAGGGACGCATTATGAAAAACCAGTTAAGATTTACTTATCCTTGGCTTGGAAGTTGTAGTGACTCTCTTTTTTGATAAATTCAAGAGGAAGAACCTCAGACCAAGCTTCCTTTAAAGAACGAAGGTGCATCATCTACTCTTCCGTCAAAGAAAGAAAAGAAATACTTCCCTCCTTCTCTCTTTCTCTCTGTCTGTCGTTTTAAGCTTGTGGCATTTTTAGATCATTCATCTTGTCTGGCGCGGCCACACTGTGAGGAGATCAGAAGATGATTGATGTGAGACTCTCGGCTCAAGGCATTCAACAGGTAAGAGTATGATCCTCCAGTTTTTTATTCTCCATTTTGTTGATATAAAACTGTCAAGCAGGACGTTTTAATTGGAATAATCAAAAAGAGTTCTGAAGCTTACTTGTGTGGTTCAGATTCTAGTTTCTCATCTGACAAGATCTTTGGACACATTGAAATGTGCTTTACACTGGTTCAAGGTGATATACAAAGTTTTGCATTCTCCCATATTTGCATTCAGGACGAGAGATGTAGTTTGCGTATGGAAGTCAGCAGCTTACACACTGAACACGTAGCTGGGGCTGGCAATACTGGCCGTGATCCACAGGTAAAACTTAAAAAAAAAAAACAAAGACTTCTCTTTCACTTTAAAATATGTTGCTAGAAAACTCACTCTACTTACAGGTGCTTTCTCTCGATTTTCCCGGGCTATCATTCGAGAAGCTAGATCCAGTCTGGTGGTTCTCGCCGCAGGAGGCTCCTAACATCGAGGCATTCCGGACCTGAGAACTTCCTTCCGCCATTCTTTCATCTAATTTGATGTACTCTTCATGAACTCAGTGAACCTTCGCAAACGGGTCGCTTCTTTCTGTCGCCATCTTCTTTCACGGCCAGAAGAAGAAATTACATTCTACTTTCTTCGTGGTGCATATTCTTTGGATGTTCTTCCGTTTCTGTAACTCTTTCCACTGTGGTTCGCTCCAGGTACTTACCGGTGATAAAGCTTTGCAAGCTTGCAATCTAAGTACTGAGTGAATTTGCAACGTTGTGTTTTCTCTAACCTTTGGAAATTTCACAGGACGTGGTTCCTCTCCCCAAAGGTTTTCCAAAAGTCATCCCGGAGTTCGTGCGGATGATATGTTTCCAATCGTGAATGAAGTGGAGTCATGACATTTGGCCTTTGACGTGTCTCAGATAGACTTCTATGATCAACTCCATAACTGCCAATCGTGTAAGATCTTGGTAATGTACAAATTGCTCTCAAACTCTCTTCTTCGGATTTCTTGTTTTGCCAAGAGTTGAAAACTCTCTTTCCTAGGTTTTGCATGCTTGGAGCGAGATGAGCATACAGACAGCTACAATCTTTTCAGCACTGGTTGCCTTCCCTCCAGTGAGTCTTGCAGGGAAGGCAGCCTTAAATCCATCAAGAACTTCATCACAAATGTTCTAGAACTGGAGAGCATTGCGGTTCAAGCAGCATCTGGGGATGCCGAATTCAATCATGACACGAGCAGCATTGGATATAAATAGAGAGAAAAAACCGACTTACTCTGGTATCCTTTACGATCTTTCACAGGTGTGACTGCTCCCAAAGTTCTCCAGTTGATGGATTTGGGAGGGTCAGAGCCGACGTTGCCAAACATTCTGATGCCTGCATCACCATCCATCTAGATTACTATCACTGGCGGCATTTGCATTTGCAGCAAACGAAAGCCAGACCAAGAGACGAGGACACATTCTTAGAGAGTTGCTTATCTCGTTAAAACGAAGGGTTATTACAGCAGTTGCAGCACGAGACTCATGCGGGCGCACTACTGTCGATCTTACGGACGTATTCAAAGAGACTTTGCTAGGACAAAAAAACGTGCACTGAATGAGACTGAAGAAGAAATCTCTTTGCAAGTTGGCAAAGGATATACAATGCAAATGAGGATCCTTGACTCAAGACAAAATGGCATCGCAAAAACAAACAGGAGAGAGAGAGAGAGAGAGAGAGAATTTAAACTCTACCTCTGAAGTGTTTGTACGGCTCCTCGAATCCAATTCAAGCCAGACTTTCAGTTTAGCTTGAACTCCGCATCTCTGGAATACCATTCATCAGCACTCGTGTACTTGCAATCTTGCAAAAGCTCGCCCGTCGTCAGCATTTGATAAAGAAGACATCGAAACCTTATACGAAAGCGCTGACATTTCAACCCAGCCGTTCGAACCATGGTCGAATGTGTGATCACCTCCACCTGCATCTGGATCAAACACACCGAGTACGAACCAAAAACAAAAAAAACAAAAAAAAAAAAACTCTCAGGTTGTACCCTTCCCGCAGAGGCAAAGGCACACCAATAGAACCTATGAAAAACTCGGGCTGAATCAAAGAAGACCGCGGGTGAAAAACGTCCTCCACAATCGCATAGCCAATGGGCAGACCTCACCTCGGTAGAGCACCGTTATCTCGAGATCCGCATGGTAGAAATCCACGTTCTTGTTTGGATTGGTGATGTTGAGGATGCAAAACATGACGAACCTCAACGTGTAAGCGTAGTCGTTTCCTCTTCCTTTTAGCTGCTGCTGCTCCAATGGATCCACTGGGATCACCTGTCCATACATCATCTCCATGAACAGGACGGCCGGGCGAGGATGGTGGTAGGGAAATCCAGTAGTAAACGAGCCCAGCAGCCACGGAGAGGATTCCAATGACCAGCAGCAATCGAAAGAGCTCGGTTCCAGATTCCTGCTGCTGCTGCTGGAGTTGCTGCTGTAGTGGGTCTTGTGTGTCCGATCCGATAGTCACAGCCAATGTTCTGGCTCAACCAAGGCTCCCTCGGCCCCAGCTCCTACTCCGAAAGTCCTGGCCTGCAGTGACTGTGGAGCGAAGTTCCGGGATCACCATCAACACCAGTGCTCGTCAGCAACGCATATGAAGGGTGACGCCCACGGGACGGGGCAAAGCACTTCTCATGCTTCGTGTGCGGCGCGAAGTTCGACTCCCGCAGTACCTGGACCAGAACTTCCTGGTAAAGCACGCAGGTAACCACTCCTCTGGCCAGTTTCCAGAAGCTCTCTCGTTATTTACCCGTGTTTTTTCAGTGGAGAGCACGCGCAACGACGACCCGGAACGAGGAAGAGTCATCGCACACTTCCATGCGAAATGGAACCATCCAGGCAGCGAAGCGTCCGTCATTGACATCCTCCGCGTGTACAATCCGGTCACAGGGTGAAGCGGTTCGTGGACTACAGAGAAAAGCTGATGGCCCAGAGAGGCAGCAAGGACGAGAAGATTGGAAAGAATGGAAACGAGGTCCTGCGCTTCCATGGCACAACGGTTTTGTGCGGGCTCGGGACGCTGCAGCAGCAGTCACTGTGCAGCAATCTCTCGTGCAGCCTCTGCAACATCATCCTGATTCAAGAAGAAGAAAGCAAAGGTTGATGGATTCCTCCGGTTTGGGGCGGCGATCTATGTGACGGCAGCCAGCAGCAAGGCAAACTACTATGTCAAGGCCTACGGCAGCTCCTCGGGTTCCAGGCACCATGCCATGCTCGTGTGTAAGGTTCTGGCCAGGCGAGTGTTCAAGGTGACCGAGGACAGGCCGAGTTGGTTGCTCCACCAGATGGCTATCACTCCATGTCTAGTGAAGTGGGAGGGATCCTCAACTTTGATGAGCTTGTGGTGTAATGCTGCCATCTTGCCTCAGTTTATTATTGTCTGATGGCTAAAACTTTAGTTTTAATTCAAGTATTTAAAGGTACTTTTATTAGATGAAGTAACCTTTTCCTTTTCCCTAACTCTATATAAATTAGCTTGTGCATTAGGTTTTGCCATATTAAGGTTTTGGCGAGATGGTCGAGGATCTTAGTGTTCGTGGTTGCAATCTTGGCTCTTTGCGTGTGCGTGTATGGGAGGTCGATTCCTCAACTCAGGACTATCTACATGGGAGATTCAATCTTCGACGTGGGCACAAACAAATATGTGAAGAATTCAGTTTCGCGTTGTGATTTTGTGCCATATGGGGAGACGAGGTTTAGCAAGCCATCTGGGAGGTGTAGCGATGGGTTTATAATTCCAGATCTGATAAACAAGGTGATAGGTTTGCCCTTTTCAAGACCATTCCTGGGCTTGAAAGCTGGGAGTCAACTTCCACTAAGCATTAATTTTGCGTCAGACGGCAGTGGCTTACTCGACTCTACTCACTCGG